TGGTGTTAGATGAGGCTGTTCCTAACAGAGTTGAGGATGTGAGAGTGGTCAGACACTTCCCTGATGTATTCCCCGAGGATTTACCTGGTTTACCCCCAGATCGAGACGTGGAGTTCACTATTGAGTTGCTTCCAGGTATTAATCCCATTTCTTTAACTCCTTATCGTATGGCTCCCGCGGAGTTAAGGGAATTGAAAGTTCAGTTGCAGGAGTTAGTGGACAAGGGATTTATTCAGCCTAGTACTTCGCCTTGGGGCGCTCCAGTTCTGTTTGTGAGGAAGAAGGATGGAACTTTGAGGCTGTGTATCGACTACAGGCAATTAAATCAGGTGACAATTAAAAACCGTTATCCATTGCCTCGTATCGATGATTTGTTCGATCAGCTGAGAGGTGCTTGTGTGTTCTCTAAGATAGACTTGAGGTCTGGTTACTATCAGCTGAAGATTAATAGGGATGATGTTCCTAAGACGGCATTCAGGACTCGTTACGGTCATTACGAGTTTCTGGTTATGCCATTTGGGTTGACGAATGCACCAGCTGCTTTCATGGATTTGATGAATCGGGTGTTCCAGCCTTACTTGGATAGATTTGTTATTGTCTTCATTGACGATATTCTGGTGTATTCTAAGTCCAAAGCGGAGCATGTTCGACATCTTACTTTGGTGTTGAAGAGGTTGAGGGAACACCAATTGTATGCTAAGTTTAGCAAGTGCCAGTTCTGGTTAGATCAAGTTGCGTTCTTGGGGCACATCATTTCTGCTCAGGGTATTTTGGTTGACCCTCAGAAGGTTGCAGCGGTAGAGAGTTGGGAGCAACCGCGAACCGTCACCGAGGTGAGAAGTTTCCTTGGGTTGGCAGGGTATTATCGGAGATTCGTTAAGGATTTTTCGGTGATTGCCTTGCCACTGACGAGATTAACGAGGAAGGATGTTAAATTTGAGTGGGATGATAGGTGTGAGCAGAGTTTCCAGCAGTTGAAGCATTGTCTCACTCATGCACCTGTTTTGGCACTCCCAGACGATAGTGGTGATTTCGAGGTTTATAGTGATGCTTCCTTGAATGGTCTGGGATGTGTGTTGATGCAGCATGGTAGGGTGATTGCTTATGCTTCGCGGCAGTTGAAACCTCATGAGTTGAATTACCCTACGCATGATTTGGAGTTGGCTGCTATCATCTTTGCGTTGAAGTTGTGGAGACACTATCTTTACGGAGAGAAGTGTAGGATCTTTACAGATCACAAGAGTCTCCAATATCTCTTTACTCAGAAGGAACTTAATCTTCGTCAGCGGAGGTGGTTGGAGTTGCTCAGTGATTACGATTGCACGATTGATTATCACCCTGGTCGTGCGAACGTAATGGCTGATGCACTTAGCAGGAAGTCACAGGGCCGTATTAATGCGTTGTACGCTAGTTGTGTTCCTCTTTTGGTTGACTTGCGTGCTACGGGAGTGAGGTTAGAAGCAGAAGATCGAGAAGTGGCGCTACTTGCTAATTTCCAAGTTAGGCCAATTCTTATTGATCGGGTACTTGAAGCTCAAGTAGCTGATCAGGAGACTCAAGAACTAATCCAGGCTCGAGATCAAGGAAGGAGGCGAGACCTCAGAGTTCGTGATTCGGATGGCATGTTGATGCTAGAGGGTAGAATGTTCGTGCCTAATAGTGTGGAGTTGAAGAAAGAAATTCTCGATGAAGCACATATCTCGGCTTATGCCATGCATTGAGGAGCTTCTACAATGTATCATACCATTCGACCATTTTATTATTGGCCGGGTATGAAGAGGGAGATAGCCGAGTATGTAAGCAGGTGTGCTGTGTGTCAGCAGGTTAAAGCAGAGAGGAAGAAGCCGTTTGGGTTGTTGCAGCCGCTTCCCGTTCCAGAGTGGAAATGGGAAAATATCACCATGGATTTTGTGTACAAGTTGCCGCGTACACAAAATGGCTTTGACGGCATTTGGGTGATCGTCGATCGACTCACTAAGTCGGCTCATTTTATTCCTGTTAGAGAGAAGTATTCTTTGAGCCGTTTAGCGGAGTTGTTTATCTCGAAGGTTGTGAAGTATCATTGTGTCCCAGTGAGTATTGTCTCGGATCGTGATCCACGATTCACATCGAAGTTTTGGGTGGCTTTTCAGGAAGCTTTGGGTACGAGATTACTTTACAGTACGGCGTATCATCCTCAGACAGACGGACAGTCAGAGAGAACTATTCAGACTTTGGAGGATATGCTGCGGGCTTCGGTGTTGCAGTTTGGCGATGCTTGGCACCAGCGGTTAGATTTGATGGAATTTGCCTACAACAACAGTTTTCATTCGAGTATTGGCATGGCGCCATTTGAGGCCTTGTATGGCAGATCTTGTCACACACCGTTGTGTTGGTCAGAGGTTGGAGAAAGAGTTTTAGTGGGTCCGGAGATTGTCGAGGAGACTACTCAGAATGTTCAGGTAATTAGGTCTAACCTGAAAGCAGCTCAGGACAGGCAGAAGAGTTTAGCGGATCGGCATGCTACGGACAGAGTGTATGAGGTCGAAGATTGGGTTTTTCTGAAGCTTTCACCGTGGAGAGGTGTCGTGCGATTTGGAAAGAAGGGGAAGTTGAGTCCCAGGTACATCGGACCATACATGGTCACAGAACGAGTTGGTGAGGTAGCTTACAGGTTGGAGTTGCCTCCGGAGTTGGCTAGAGTGCATAACGTCTTTCACGTGTCTATGCTCCGACACTATGTTGCTGATCCATCCCACGTGATACCTCCTCAACCGCTTGAGATTAACCCAGATTTGACGTATGACGAGGAACCGGTGACGATCATCGATTGGAAAGAGAAGGTTCTGAGGAACAAGACGGTGAACTTAGTGAAAGTTTTGTGGAGGAATCATTCAGTTGAGGAAGCTACTTGGGAGACAGAAGATCGGATGAGGGATTTGTACCCTCGATTGTTCTTTGACCACTAGGGGTTGTTACTTGGTTGTTTTGAATTTCGGGACGAAATTCTATTAAGGTGGGAAGGTTGTGACATCCCGTCCCGAGATTATTAAAACGCACGTGTGAAATTACATATCTGCCCCTAGTTCGTTTCGTTATTCTGTTTGGTGGGTGGTGTGGTGTTGGCATGTGTTGGGCCACACACACACACACACACTGTCCCTATCTCTCTCCCTCTGTCTTCTCCCTGTCGCTCTCTCTCTCCCGTGTTCCCATTTCCTTCCTCTTCCTATTGGAATTGTACGGACACACACGAACACACTCAACCACTTACAGATCGAGGGAACCAAGACCACCCTCGTGCTCGTGGGGCTGAGAGGAGTCCAGTGGTACCATTTTCAGGTAAGGTTGTAGCCGTTTTCACGTCGAGGCAGGGGGGCTACGACCCTTCCACTTACCAGTGAGTGGGCTTTTGTTTTCCGTATATACCTATATACATTTATATTCCCAGAAATTGATTAAAAAGGGTTATTTATGTTATGCCATGCACTTTATTATTATTATCGTTTATGCATCATTGCATGCATTAGTAGTGGCATGCATACACATATGCATATTGGGTGCTGTGGACGCACAGGTAAGTGCCAGGTAAGTGGTATTCATATTTACATACAGCAGTAGTTTGAGATGCTTAGAGAGCTCATAACCTGCACCCCCGGTGTTAGTGCTCCCGCCCAGTGTAGGGCACAGTCCTTCACGTGATGTTCACCTCCCGCACCACACGCTCAGCTTGGATCCAAGTTAGGTGCACAGTCTTGTCGTACAGACCACATTAGGTGGTTCCGACTCGTAGGTGACCCGCGATTATTCGCACAGCCTTCACGTGATCGTAGCACTAGAGCGTATATATATGTTACACCCAGGCCTGTCGTACAGACCACTTTAGGTGGTTCCGACTCGTGGGCAGGTTCAGTTGTTCAGTTGTCGAGGTTTAGATTTGAGCTCTATATACAGCCGTACAGGTCACGTTAAGTGACTCCGGCTGCCAGATGTTATATTATTGATATGATTCATACCTGAGCACATACATTTTATTATGAGGTTTCGACATGGCATATCTTGAGCATGTTTGGCATTTTTTTATACGTACGTATATATGATTATTTTCTGGGAAGTATACAGGTTTTACGGCGAGGGGTTAGAATGTATTTTGCTAAATGGTTTTCAAAGAGCTTTGTTTTTGCCCACTCACGCTTTTGTTTTGCGTCCCTCCAGGTTCTAGTTGCTTAGCGGTTTCGGTGGTCTCCCAGAGGTTTCTTCCGGCTTTTCTGACAGACACTCACCATTGTAGGGTCACCTTCGGGTGTACTTTTGTCGCAATCTTCTTTTGGACTGCTGTAGACCTGCTCTGAATTGTGTTTCACTTATGCTAGCACTTGTCATAGTATTTTGTATGCTAGTTTTTAATTTATTCGTACTTTTATATTATTACTTTATTAGCTTCCGCACGTGCACATGGCTACGTCACCTTCGTGTGACGGCCAGCACGCTCCGATCTCGGTCGGGGTGTGTCAGATCCCCCACGGCAGCAAGTACATGAGGTAAGTTCCCAATCCGACATTTAATCTCAATTAGCTAATCTTACTTCTATTGTGTCTCAGATGGCCGAAGGAATGAGGATACAAGGACCAATTGTATGTGGTGTGTGTTCTATCCAATGACACCCTTCGGAGAAGTGCCCTCAATTGATTGAGAATGGGGGATGGGAGAGTGCAAATGCCATTGGATTTCCAAGCCAAAATCAGCCACGAAATTATCCTTATTCCAACACATACAATCTGGTTTGGAGAGATCACCCAAATTTCAAGTGGAAGGAGCCTCAACAACCTCAACAACAAGGAAGCTTTAGGCAACAACCCTTGGGGTTTTACACCAAACCATACATCCCCAATCAAGGCCAAACACAACTTGCCCAAACCACTCAAGGTACGTCTTTGGACAATGATACACTTATTAAGTTACTAACCAATTTGTCTCAAGGGCAAGAGAATCAAAACAAAGCGATGCAAAACCAAGGCAAAATGGTGAACCACTTGGAGAAGCAAATTGGGCAGATAGTGAAGTTTGTAGGGTAATTCCGAGACCAAGGCAAGCTCCCTAGTTCAACCATTGTCAATCCAAAGGGAGGGTTCAAATCTGCCAAAGCAATCACATTGAGAAGTGGAAAAGAAGTTGGCACTAATCCAAAACCATCCAAAACAAGTCCAAATGAAGATGAAAAGCTGCAATTGGAAGAAGATGAGCCAAGCAAAGCCATAGCAAGGGTAAAAACACCCTTACCGCAACCACTTAGGGACCCCAATGCATCCAATTCATCTAATTCGGCCAATATAGGTAAGTTGGGTTCAAATTCGATTAATTCTAATTCTATTCCACCCAATGTTCCTTTCTCTCATAGATTTATGCAAGCAAAGAAAGAGGAGAATGACAAAGACATTCTTGAGACATTTAGGAAAGTACAAGTCAATATACCACTCCTCGATGCCATCAAGCAAGTGCCCAAATATGCCAAATTTTTTAAGGAACTTTGCACCACAAGGAAGAGGGCTTCGAATAAAGAGGTGGTTAGGGTAAGTGAAAACGTTTCTGTTGTTTTACAAAGAAAGTTACCTCCAAAGTGCAAAGATCCAGGTAGCTTTACAATCCCTTGCATTATTGGCCAAACTAAGTTTGAACATGCTATGTTAGACTTAGGAGCTTCCATTAACGTCATGCCATATTCTATTTATGCATCCATGAACTTTGGTGAATTGAAAAATTATGGTGAGATTATTCAATTGGCCGATCGATCTAATGCCTATCCAAAGGGAGTTTTGGAAGATGTTTTAGGCCAAGTGAATAACTTGATCTTCCCAGCGGATTTCTATGTTCTTGAGATGGAAGAAACCCATTCCACATCCTTGCCACTCCTTCTTAGGAGGCCATTCATGAAGACGGCCCGCACTAAGATCGATGTGTTTAAAGGAACTTTAACGATGGAATTTGATGGGGAAGTTATTGATTTAATATTTCTGAAACCATGAGATTTCCTAATGATGATCATTCATGTTTCTCTATTGATATCTTTGATTCATTGGCACAGGAACATCTTGATCAATTGCATGAGGATGCACTTGAAACAGTCCTTACAAATGGAATAGAATTGACAAATCACATGGCATCACCCATAGCACCCCACGACACCAATCTGGAATTTCATGCCATGCCCTTTGATGATGAAGTAATTGAGGTGGTGGCTGCCCTAGAGTCATTGTTACGGCTCAATGGTAAGTCCTCAATCCCAATGTCAATTCCAATTTCAACTAACAAGTTGCTTCCTTCCATAGTGCAGCCATCTACCCTTGAGCTTAAACCATTACCAAACCACTTGAAGTATGTTTTCTTGGGTGAACAAGAGACATTGCCCGTCATAGTGGCCTCCTCACTCACGGCACAAGAAGAGGACAAGTTGGTAAGGGTTCTAAAGGAGCACAAAACAGCCATAGGGTGGACTTTAGCCGATATTAAGGGCATAAGCCCTACCACATGCATGCACTGAATACTCATGGAAGAGGGAGCTAAACCATCTAGGGAAGCACAACGCCGACTTAACCCTACAATGATATAAGTCATGAAGAAGAAGATTATCAAACTCCTTGATTGTGGCGTTATCTATCCCATCTCAGATAGTTGTTGGGTTTCACCGGTCCAAGTAGTTCCAAAGAAGTCCAGAGTCACAGTGGTGAAGAATGAAGAGAATGAGCTTGTGCGCACACGCATCCAAACTGGTTGGAGAGTTTGCATTGATTATAGGAAGCTAAATGCCACCACAAGGAAAGATCACTTCCCTTTGCCATTCATTGATCAAATGCTTGAAAGGTTAGCCGGTCATTCTTTTTATTGTTTTCTTGATGGTTATTCGGGTTATAATCAAATTGTCATAGCGCCGGATGATCAAGAAAATACCACTTTTACTTGTCTATTTGGTACTTTTGCTTATCGTCATATGCCATTTGGTTTGTGCAATGCACCTGCCACCTTTCAAAGATGCATGGTAAGTATATTTTCTGATTATGTTGAAAAATTATTGAGGTATTCATGGATGATTTCAGTTTGTTTGGGGACTCATTTGATGATTGTTTGCATAATCTCACTTTAATCTTGAAAAGATGCGTGGAAACTAACCCTGTTTTAAATTGGGAAAAATGTCATTTTATGGTAAAACAAGGCATAGTTTTGGGTCATATCATCTCTGAAAAAGGAATTGAAGTTGATAAGTCAAAAATAGATCTTTTACGTTACTTACCCTCTCCTACTTCGGTGAGAGAGGTTCGTTCTTTTCTTGGACATGCAGGATTCTATAGGCGATTTATCAAGGATTTTTCCAAGATTGCACAACCCCTTTGTCGTCTCCTACAAAAGGAAGTGTCCTTTGAATTCAACGAGGAGTGTGAGAAGGCATTCAAGCACCTCAAGGAGATGCTTACCACGACACCAATCATGGTCCCACCAGATTGGAGCATGCCTTTTGAGTTCATGTGTGATGCATCCGATTATGCAATAGGGGCTTTTTTTGGGCCAAAGGAAGAACAAGCAACCACATGTCATCTATTATGCATCCCGAACCTTGAATGATGCTCAATTGAACTACTCTACCACTGAAAAAGAACTTCTTGACGTTGTGTTTGCTTTAGATAAGTTTCGTTCATATTTACTTGGCAGTACAATTGTTGTTTATTCTGACTATGCAGCCTTGAAGTACTTATTCACCAAAAAGGAGGCCAAACCAAGGCTAATTCGTTGGATGCTTCTCCTCCAAGAGTTTGACATTGAAATTAGAGACAAGAAAGGGAGTGAAAACGTAGTGGCTGACCATTTGAGTCATATGGTGTGCAATGAGGAGTCTTTACCCATCCAAGAGACATTCCCTAATGAGCAATTGCTGTCCATTAAGGTAAGTGAACCTTGGTATGCCGATTTGGTGAACTTTTTGGTGTCAAAATGTGTTCCAAACACCATAACCAAGCACCAACGTGGTAAACTCAAGAAAGAGGCACGGTTTTATGTGTGGGATGATCCATATTTGTGGAAATATTGTGCGGATTAGATTCTTCGTAGATGTGTGCATGATTGTGAGTTTAATTCAATTTTAACTTTTTATCACACTTATACATGTGGAGGACATTTTGGCACACAACACACTGCCCTTAAGTTAGAATGTGGTTTTTATTGGCCTACAGTCTTTAAAGATGCTAGAACTTTTTGTTTAACTTGTGATCGTTGTCAAGGAATGGGCAATATAGGTGCAAGGGACCAAATGCTGCAAACACCCATCTTTAATGTTGAAATTTTTGATGTTTGGGGCATTGATTTCATGGGTCCTTTTCCTTCTTCATATGGTTTCACTTATATTTTGCTTGTGGTTGATTATGTCTCAAAATGGGTGGAAGCAAAGGCCACCCGTACTAATGATTCTAGAGTGGTTGCAAATTTTATCAAAACTAACATCTTTGCTAGATTTGGGATGCCTAGAGTGCTCATTAGTGATGGAGGGTCTCATTTTTGTAATCGCACCATTGAGGCGTTGCTCAAGAAATATCAAGTCACACATAAGGTTTCAACACCTTATCATCCTCAAACCAATGGCCAAGCCGAGGTGTCCAATAGAGAAATCAAGCAGATTTTGGAGAAGACCGTTTGGCCAACAAGAAAAGATTTTGGAGGATGCATTGTGAGCCTATCGTATGGCCTACAAAACACCCATTGGGATGTCACCATTTTGGCTTGTCTATGGCAAACCATGCCATCTCCCTGTGGAGTTAAAACACAAGGCACATCGGGCTATCAAAACATTCAACATGAACATAGATGCGGCTGGAATTCATAGGAAGCTTCAATTGAATGAACTTGAAGAGATTCGGCTTAAAGCTTATGAGAATGCTTGCATTTACCAGGAGAAGACCAAGGCTTTCCATGACAAGATGATTCATAGCAAAACATTCTCTATAGGGCAACAAGTTTTACTTTTTAATTCTCGCCTTCGTTTGTTTCCCAGTAAGTTACGTTCTATATAGATTGAGGAATGGTGCAGTTCCAATCCAAAGCTTGAGGAATGGCCAAGAATTCAAGGTGAATGGAAATCGTTTGAAGCCATATTATGAAAGTGTTGAAGGGCAGATTGTGGAGGATGTCACCCTCCATGCCGTGGGTTCCAATTGAGCCTAAGAAGAGAGTTTGTCCGGCTTTCCGACGTTAAAGGAAGTGCTTCTTGGGAGGCAACCCATGCATTCAACTAGAGAGGACTTAGGCAATCCAACAATTCATTCAAATAAATCAGATTTGCGTTCCTAAACCCCTCTCTCTTTATTGTTTTTATTTCGTCATGCTAGTTAGTTTATATTGTTTGTTTGAATGTGAGTCTTTGTTTGAAACATTGAGGACAATGTTTGATTTAAGTGTTGGGGGGAGGGGGGTGTAAACAAGTTATTTTTGCATGATTTTCGTGGGATTGTATCACCTATGACTTCCAATGTTGTTTCTCACTGTTTTTAAGTGTTTTTAGTGTGTTTTGAAGTGTTTTTATGTGTTTGGATCAGAAAATACGAAAATTTTACAAAAAAAAAATTGCAAAACAGTTTTGAAAAACCCAAAAAGAGTTGTTTTTAAGTTGTTTTTGTGTGTTTGTTTGTGTTTTAGGGTACCTTCCAACACGATGATGAGGATTTGGTTTTTAATTGCATGACTATTAAAGAAAGTTATAAACATGGATGGAAGTTTGATTTACTCTTTGGTTTATGCTTGGTTATAGTTTACGAATTCACATGTAATCACAAAGAGAAAATCAGTTTTTGTAACATGCTTGAAGGAAGGAACTCAAACTAAAGCTACCATCCCTGAGAGACTAGAGCCTAAAACGTTCTTTGGAGAGTATAAATCTATGATTTCTTGTTTTCTAAAGTCGTTGCATGATCTCATTATTCTTTGCTTGGTTGCTACTTAGAATGCATTTCATCATTATAGTTCCAAATACTAGAACTCATGCCCATTTCATTCAAAGCATGATATTGATTGCATAACATACAATAAGATGAAGTTGTTTAGTTAAACCAAAGCCAAAGAGCCTAACCCTTTTGCTTATGTATTGTAGGATTAACCCTTTTGAGCCTTTTCAAGCCTATTTTCTTTGTTAGCCACATTATCCTCACCTAGCCTAGATTAGGATTTTCCATACCCTAGTTCTTAAAGGATAGTGAAGCATGACTTAGAATGAATTCCTTTTGATCAACATATTGCAGAAAACAAGTGTGGGGGAAGGTAATAGGGCACGGCAAAGAAAGAAAATAAAGAAAAAAAAATTCATGGAAAAATAAAAAGAAAAGAGGAAAGTGGTAAAAAGAAAGAAAAAGAGTTGGAAAATAAGTGAGAATAATCTCACAAGTATTGGTTGTTGACCCTAAGTGTTGCATGAATCTTCCCTTGTGTTCAAAAGTTAATTTCTGCCATCAAAAGTGAGTTTAAGTGTCAATTTCATTACTTTGCTTCCTATTGCTTTAAGAACCTTTGTTTATCCTTTACCTTCTTTGTTAGCCAATACCCTTAGCCTCATTACAACCCTCAACTTCTATCTTGATGTTATGTGTTCAATATGTGGAGTTTGAATTTGGTATGAGCATATGGAATCACTGGTTCTCATTCTAAGTAGTAGCATTCCATTCATAAGATCATATACATATCATTGTCATAATTCCAGAAAATGCTTTCTTTGTTATAACATATGTGAGTGCTAGTCTACATGTTTACATCAATCTTCTTACATATACCTACTGTAGGGTGTGTAGTTAGAAAATCTGTGTGAAAATAGAGAGTATACCTAGTGAGGAATTGAGGGAATTCTCTAAGGCATGTTACTACATTCAAAATGTTGTTTTAATTGATTGAATGTGAACTAGTAAGTTGTAACTATGGTTAAGTGTTTGCTCACGTGTAAAGAGAGCCAAAAACTGTGGGAGTGATGTTCTTTAATGTGTCATGTTCATTGGAAATCCTTGAGGTACATGTTGGAAGGTCTAGAGTGTGTTTTGTTAGTTTTGTTTGTTTTGTTTTGCTCAAGGACTAGCTAAAGCTAAGTGTGGGGAAATTTGATAGGAGCATATTTAGGCCACTTAGTTAGCTTGTTTTCTTACATTTATGTTGTTAGTTCATAGTTATTTTAGTATTTTAAGCTATTTCGTGTGTTTATAGGTTCATTTGGCTAAGGTAGCAAGAAGGTGCATTTTGGAGCCTTTTGGAGCAAAATTGGACTTGGAATGGATAGCATATGCTTGGAGCAAAAGGAATGGACGAAATTGAAGACCTAAAGATGTTAGGATTCCTAATCAACGAAGGATTCCTAATCAAAGAAGGATTCCTAGTCAAAGAAGGTTTCCTATTTGAAGTAGGAAAGTTAAGCCAAGGTTTCCTATTTTGGTTTAACCTTTCCTAATCCTAAAAGGCCCTAGGTTCTAGCAACATTGAGGAGTCTTATGCATTTTAGGACACAAATTAAACCTTCCTTGCATCCTTATGTCCCTTGCCGTGCCTTCCATAAACTGCCCCTTCCTTGCCGTGCAAGGGGAATGCCTATTTCCTATTTTGTGTCACAAGATCACATTCCTCTTTCACGCTATTCAAGGCCGCACCTTACATACCTATTCTATCCTAAATCCTTGCTTAATTTCAGCCTTAACTCACATTCCATTTCCTATTCTTTTCTTGCCGCAAGTCACATTCATATTACCTTTAATTTTTAATTTTACTTACTTATTTTGAGGAGATTCTGACCTTTAAGGCTCTTGGACAAAATAGCTAAGTTTAATTGGCCTTCCATAAGCCTTTGCTGCACCCATATAGAAGATTATTCATTCATATTCACTCATTCATACAATCTGCCATCTTTCATCCTGTCCACCAACCTTTACCACAGCCTTCATCCTCTCTTCCACCATTCCCATACTTCCATACCTTCACCCAAACACTCATACACCATTCCCAAACCTTTGCCGCATCCCCTACCAATCTAAATTCATCCTTAACCCAGAAATACATCCAAAATCACCCAAAAACTCTTCATTGGCAGTGTTGGAAAACATCGTGTTTGATGAGCATACACGAGAGGTGGACTATTCTGACAAATCTGCTACAGGTAAATATCAATTATTTTCATCCCAAAATTCACACAATTTGAGTTTGAATCTCATGATACGGTGATTGATTATGCTTATACATAATTCTGATGGACCATATAATATATTGAGCTGTTTTTCTTCTGGTTGCAGAGAACACTCGTGCAGCTTACCCCATCGAATACATTCCCAACGCAAAGATACCATGCATTGGTCCACATCCAAACAACGTCAAACTTTTGGCGTGCGATGCATTTGGTGTGCTCCCTCCTGTGAGCAAGTTAAACCTTGCTCAGACCCTGTACCACTTCATCAGTGGCTACACTGCTCTGGTAAATTCAAATTCTCTATTTGTACTCGTGAACACATAACATTTCGGTTACTATATTAACTAATTGTTGATAAATTTATAGGTTGCTGGAACTGAAGATGGTATCAAGGAGCCAACAGCAACATTCTCAGCATGCTTCGGTGCAGCATTTATAATGTTGCATCCTACTAAGTATGCAGCAATGCTGGCTGAGAAGATGCAGAAGCACAGTGCAACAGGATGGTTGGTTAACACTGGCTGGTCCGGTGGAAGGTATATGTGCATTCGATTATCATCATAATTTTAGAGAATCATTTCCATGAGAAAATATTAACCAAACAATCATCTTTCTTTCCTGCAGCTATGGATCAGGAAAGCGCATTAAGTTGCCCTACACCAGGAAAATCATTGACGCCATCCACTCCGGCAGCCTCTTAAACGCGAAGTACAAGAAGACTGAAGTGTTTGGACTTGAAATCCCCACTGAGGTCGAGGGAGTGCCTTCAGAAATACTGGATCCAGTGAACACTGTAAGTTGGTTTTCTCTCTATATACCATTTCCTTGTTCGGTCTTGACCTTCATTGTTAATGTGATATCCGAATCTTTATTTGGGGTTGCAGTGATCGGACAAGAATGCATACAATGAAACTTTGATGAAGCTGGCTGGCCTGTTCAAGAGGAACTTTGAGACTTTCACAAATTACAAGATTGGGAAGGACAACAAGCTGACCGAGGAGATACTTGCGGCCGAAACAAATTTCTAAAACCTTCGCAGAAAAGAAGAATAACTAGAAACTCTAGAGAAGCTAGGGGGCAAGGCAATTGATGGAAATAAGAATTGGACAGACTCAGAAGTAGGCGTATTGTTATTCTATTCATTAGATATGCTAAACGGTTCTTTTGTACTTTTTAAGGTCCTATTAATATATATATAATCAAAGGAGGTTGTTTCTCTCCATTTCCTTCCCCTCATTTTCTTCAAAATTCATCTGTTTCGAAGTTAATTTTTGAAATTTTGGACACAAATTTAAAGGGAAACAAAGAAAAGAAGGCAGTTTCCAGTCACCAATTAACAAAATTGAGTAGTTTTGGACAGTATTTTTTGCAAGAACCCTGCCTCCCTCATTGGTAGCCAGCGAAGACGGTGTCGTTCTTCTCAACAGGGTACAAGATTGTTGTTTGTGTCTTGAATTTTCGATTTGCAGGTCTTTCTAAATGATCAATTCTTGAACTGGGATGATGCGATCCACAAAACAAAATCAAAGTGCGGATCATGTCTGCCAGGGCTTTCCATTCATTGTTCATGCGCAACATGCAAGTTTTGAGGCATGTTCCACGTCGGAAACCTGCACGAAGAGACATAAAGACTCACGAACGATTGATTTTGATGTCATTGTAAAACTCGTGCATGAGCTTCATTAGTGTACATTTGCAGGTGTATCCCACCCACTCCTGAAGAGCCGGAGAATTTCGGAACTCCGGACTTCACCATCTACAGTGCCGGACAGTATCCTCTCCCTACATTCTGGTTGCAATATGGGGAAAGACGGAGATATCGTGCTCTTGTTTGGATTGTCGGGATATAGAACCAACTGATGTTTGATCGTAGAGTGCATGCTAAGAGGCTAGTTGGTTCTGATAAATGTTTGCTAGCATGTTTGAATAATTAGGTACAAGAAAGACTACTTTGTAAACGGATCACAATAGGTTCTTAATTGAAGACGATGACCACTGTTGGAGTGAGACTGGTCTGTCCAACATCGAAGGTGCTTGCTATACCAAGTGCATTGACCTCTCAAGGGAAAAGGAGCCTGACATTTTCAAAGCCATCAAGTTTGGGGCAGTGTTGGAAAACGTCGTGTTCGACGAGCATGCCCGGGTGGTGGATTATTCAAACAAATCTCGTACAGGTAACGAGAGAGCATGAAAATCATTTCTCATATCCAATCGTGCAGCCTACCCCATCGAATACATTATTATTATCTGTATTATTGATTAATTACAAGGTTGCTGGATCCGAAAAGGGTATTAAGGAGCATCATTTTTATGTTGCATCCTACCAGGTACGCAGCAATGTTGACTGAGAAGACGCAGAAGCATGGTGCAAGTACTGGTTTGGTGGAACGTATGAATACACTTTCAAATATCTTCATAAGAACGCCTGAATTTCGAACAGTCTGATCGAACTAGGGAGTCAATTCGGATCCAAAAATATTGAACGATAATTGCTTTCCAATTCTAAGCCGAAACTACTTGAATTCAACATTGACTCCGATTTCAGAAGAGTGCTGATGTTCGTACTCACCAGTCTTATTTTCCCACCTATCCAGTAGTGCAAATGTTCGTAACAAATGAATATAAAGTGGATGCGCAAATTTGCCAAGTTTGTGGGTACAGTAGCACCCTTACATGAATTCTCAGAATTTTCAAAAAAAATCGGAACATATTCCTAATACTAATAGTCCAACTCCGAACCCAATTTCAAATGTCTAATTTGATTTGGGTGTTCCAAACTCAATGACTTTCAAATTGGAATTGGTAAGAATAGGAAGTTCCAATCCGACTTGCCTCTCTCACTCTCATTTTTTTTTTTTCGGGCTTCGCAGTGGTCGGACAGGAATGCATACAATGAGACACCATTGAAGTTGGCTGGTCTATTCAAGAACAAGTTTAAGACCTTCACTATCAGATTGGTGTGGAAAACAAGCTAACAGAAGTGGATACTAGCAGCGGCCGGTCGCAATTTCTAAACGCCGGCAAAACTGTAAAATATCACCTAATTTTATCAGATGGGTTTCGGGATGGTCAATGGATTGTAAATTACACTAACCTTGTAAACTAATATTCAATATAAAGAAAGTTCTATTTCCTTGTTAAAGAAAAAGCCCTAAATTTTTTTTAAAGTTCTATTTATAGTTTTGTGAAATAAACTAAATTATGACAATTAATTTAACAATCTGACAGTAAGCAAACCTTGGCATTCAGATTCCCGCAACATTCAGGGAATAAGTTTCCAAGCATAATCCATAATTTCATTATTTATGAACGGACGCAAAGACCACATCAGGCAGTAGCTCTCTAATTCTCCCGAAGATGACTTGAGATTACGAGCAGAGACGATCCTCTCCTGCATCAAGTTGTTACATTGGATGTTTTAAAAGTTCATACCAAAGGGCACAGATAGTGGGAATACAGGGTGAGAGCTTAATTACCTGCATCATATAGTCTTGTTTGACCATACTGTAAATGACCCCCATCACGACAGCATAATCGGTAACTTCATTTCTTTTGGGATGGGATGACGTAAATTCCTCCTATAGAAGTTAGGCATCAGTAAGAGGTGTTTCGAATTTATCATCAACCATAAGAAATCAGAATTGGCGTAAGAATTTTACTGAGCATTATGCAAATCTGAACTAGGAACAGAATACTTAGTGTGGAATGAACATTCAGAAAGAAAAGAAAAAAGGAAAGAAAATTAGGTGATGGAAAGATCAGCCAAATATCTTTAGAACTCAAAGATATAGCTCCCTCATTCCTGAAAAATCTTACTTTCTTAACATAATATTTTGCGACAGAAATATGCATTCAACACTTCTATGTACCGCTCCTCTTCCTACTTTCCAACCATAGCAAACTCGATCAGGAAATGAATAGAAAAACTTGTAAAATAAAGGATAATCTGGAAATCAGAGATATTAAGGATTGACCTTCAAAATAGGCAAGAGTGAAATAAAAACTGTAAAGAAAGGAGGATATTTAAGCCGGATAAACAGTATAAATGTTGCACTAAGAATTTTGTAGTGAAAGGAGACATGTGAATGACGGATCATATAACTTTGACCGAAACTCTGCAGATTAAACCATGCTTATAGGCAAGTGCAGGCACTCTGATTTTCAATAACAGTAAAGATTGCCTAAAATCTCCAACCCAACAGTAACTCCTTAAACACCAAAGCTACAAAGAGGCACACATGTTTCAGCTAGAAGCCTAAAACCCTAACAAAATTCCAAGCATGCAATTATCAGAGTAATTTAGTGATACATTCAAATCAGTGATTACCACTGATACATGTGTCTGTGCGTATACGGGTACAAATACAACAGAAATGTACGGACAATTGGACAGAAGTCCAATGATGGGCAACGATAATTACTGAACTCGGAGGCAGGGAGGGTAGATGATACGATGCTGATAATTGTACAAATAATCTGTCGATATTGATTGCCAAGTGTCATGTAGTCATTGGTTTAGTTGTTTAGTGTTTGTTGGATGGATATTAGGAGTTGGTTATAGCTGTTATGGCTAACCTTAGCTTGCGAGTCAGGTATTAATACTTGTCATCTGTGCAATGCAAGGTGATTTGTGATTTTGTAAACATTGGTATTCAGTAATACAGAGAAGTATTAGCATACAAGTGCAAAGGTTAGAACAGAGTTATACTAGGAGAAGGAACAAACAGAGATGAGAAGCATATCAGAACTCAATGTACAAACAGTATCAAGATATTCCTTGGGATAAGAGAAAAGAAGGATAAAGACTACCTTGTCACCGTTGCATGCTTCTTCATTCAACCTGTCCACAAAACTGTCATCCTGAAAGTCGGGTAAATTTCCCATTGCAGTTCGCATTGCGCCATTTACATCCTCCAGGAGGCATTCAAGTTCATTAAGTACGTTTTTGCCTACAACAGCACTTGCATTCTTAAACAAAAAATTCAAGAGTACATCAAGTGCAAGATTGCATCAAGTAGGGAAATGTACCATTAACAAACTACAAACTGCAACATATATCAGACATTCAAACTACAAACTGCAGCACACGAGATATGAAAGAACTACTACTACGAACAGATAAAACAGCTCATTGATGTAAAGGCATCACCACTTCGCTTTCCCTTTAACAAGATTCTTTTGTGATATATAATAAAAGAAACAATACTGACAATTTTGGAAAGACATGTTACCTTTACTTAGATGGTCACAAAGTCCAAGTTGGCATGTATGCACTTCTCTACAAGAATTTCACCATGTATAAGAAATACATCACGTTCATAGTCCAGACCAATAATGTATCAGAAAGTGGCAGAACTCAAAGTAAAGGAACAGCACCATACAAAAACAAAGGATAGTAATTCAAGGGCAGATATCAGAAAAACATGCTCATTAGTTGGATACTCAGTAAATCAACGCTACAAATTATCAGCCAATTACAAATAAACTGTCACTACTGCGGGAGCATAAGTACTATCAGTGGCCTTTAACCGATATCCAAATTTTTCTAATGGAGAACTGAATTCAAGTAAAGAGAAAGAAGAGACTATCAAGCTATCAACTCATTCCAATTATTTCCAGTAAATTGTGAAAGATAACAGTTTTAACAAATAATTAAGCATATTTCTATAACATTATAAATCTTTGCTGATATAAAACTGATAAGAGCTTGGGAGGGTCTTAACACTCAATTATCTAACCAACTATCCAAAGAAAGCATAAGAAAATATACAGAATTGCACTCACACTTGCTTATATTTCACCTGCCATCGTCAGCGTTGAGACATCCAGCTTCAACATATGACTTAACCCTCTTTGTTTCATTACCTCGGATTACGTTTTTAACCAAATCCGATGTCTCATCTATCTGAGGTCGTCGAAGAAACTCTACAAAAACAAAAATATTACTTTCTAAGAAACTAAATCAAATTTGAAACAAAACCCAGAATACTACTTACCCAGCCCCTGCTGAAAGTCGACAAGTAATGTGCTTCCAGTGGCCACCAACTCGTCAAAATTGCCGAGTCTGCAGAATTGATGAATTTTAAAGATTGCCCAGATGAAAAAAGCGAATTTCTTCTAGTGATAAAAGATAAAAGCAGAGTTACCTGGCCATGAAATTTTTGAACAAGTTGATAACTTTGTCTTCAAATTCAAAATTCGATACAGATTTCGATCCAGCAGAGGTTGATCCAGACCCCTTCTTGTTCTGCAGAGGCAAGTGCCATCATCAAATTAATGCACTATAACTTATAGACTTGTTTTTGTGTCAAAACAAAAAAGAAGAGTTCCAACAAAAAAATTTTCTGCAACAAGATTTTAGGCATGTAAAAAATCTTATTAAGCATATCATTGTAAACATTAGTATGTTCATAAAATGAAGAGAGTTCCAAGAAAATATTTTTTTGTTACATAAAAAGGAATAGCTAATGCCAGGGTTAAAAACTAAACAAAATAAGCAGCAAGACACAAATCAGGCATGCCAAGTAAGTCATAAAGTTTCAAGATATAAACCTATACGGGTAAATCTAGAAATTCCCAGACCCTCACCAAGAATCGAGTGATCGGTAACCCTTTCATCAAATTTAAGATTAGAACCAATAAAAGAGGTGGAAAGCAAAAGCAACTCCAAAATGGTTCTTGCAACAATAAGATTGTAAATTACATCACATGGAAAGAAGAATCTCAAATAATATGCACTTCAAATCAATTTCTTTGAACAAACCAAAGTTCCCAAAAATTTCCACAAATAACAGGATACGACATAACACAGAAATTATAGGGCCAAAACTATCTCATAATCATTTTGGGAAGTGGACTCATTATATGTGTAAAGTGTAGACCAATTGTATATGACAGGTACAGAAAAAAGTCAATGTGAGCAAGTAATGTTATGAATTTATGAGCTATATCAAAAAGAGGGAGTAATAATACATACATGATGGACAGAGTTGGTAGCACTGGATGTTAGGTGCTTGGTTTCTAAAAACAATTTGCCTTCTTGAATCACTCTCTCAGCAATAATTGGTTGAGATGGGCCAAAGAAAGATCTAAAACTGCAGAATAAGTAGGGAAACAATTTAAAATCAATTTCAAAACTTCTATTTTACCAATTACCACTATATTGTCCACAGAAAAATTATGAAACAAATCATCTGTCTGATAACCTCATCACAAAAAAAGAAAACAAGGAACTGCAAATAAAGTTGCAAGGATGACAACTCTTCAAAATGTATTCTCATTTCTCTATATTACTTTCAGACAGTGATACCCTGGAAAAAAAAACATTGGTCTGTCCTAGAAATTGCAACTATAAAACCTATATTGTTACAGGCTCTGGTAGAATGCAAGCAAATCAATACATTACAGAACTATTTTAGTTGCATCACTTCCTGCTTCCCTACAACTTCAGATAACAAGGCTAGATATTGTTCATCAAATAATCATTGGTTACTTCCAATACGGAAGCATTGAACCTAGTAGCAGAAACAAACAGAACCGCCTACCTTGTCTTACTAAGAAAGCATGGATTTTCCACGAAGGAAAAACTGCGGTTATATAGTGGTTACTCACTTGTCATAGGGGAGCTCCTTCTTTTTATTACTGGAGTTGGCCAAAGAAGAACCACTCTTCTTCTTTCGTAATTGTTCTTTCAAGCGTTGTCTCAACTCAAGGTATGCCAATGCTTCCTTGGTAGGCTTTGGATCTTCCTCTTCCTCTTCATACTCTTCACCATCCTCATCATCCTCATAATCCTCATATTCGTCGCCTGACTGACCATAATCCTATCCCAAAAAAATTGTCAAACTAATTTTCTCCAAATAATAATAGAGTATCAACATCGAAAATTTACATATAATAAAAAACAGATAGACGAAGATCCAAAATTTACTTACATCTCTATCATATCCCCGCATTTCCCTCTCGAATTGAACAATTACAAATGCAAAGTACCTGAAAAATCACAAAAGAAAACCCTAATTTTTATCATGCTGCCTTCAAGGCCTAGGCATCGAAAATCAAGTTCGATTTGAAGACAAATGGATATGATGCGATCAGAATTCTCAAGGAGAGAATCTGCAAGCCCTAATTTGTACAGCTTTGGGGTTTGACCGGTTACTCTGAAACGAAGAGTCCAATTTTCGGAATAAAACTAGCAATAGTGCCCGCGCGTTGCTGCGGGTGTTGAAACTACTGGATGTAAAAATGCATAAAAAAAGATGAGAATATGGTGTAAAACAATATGTAAGCCAGTTTTGTACTGAGAAGGCAGGCACACATCTTAATCAAAGTGAAAAATGATGTCTAAGGATTAGATCTAGTATATTTCAGCCAATGATACAACTGCCTCTGAATTCCATGTTGCAAACTTGCCTATTGAAAAGCCTCTGAATTTATAGCCTAAATCAGCATCGCACCATTAAATCACATTATTAAATCGGAATAAAAACATTGAAAAACATATGAAATCATGCTCAACTTTGATATCTGAACAAAACAAAGCCTTCAGATCAAAGCAAAAAACTGAAGATGGTTACCTGAATTCAATAAAAACTGAAATATGATTACTCTTAAGCATGCTTTTTTTCAGGAATCAGTAAAACTTGAAAATATCCCAAACAGACTCTTATACCTTATGTATCCAATAGAGCTTGAATTTCTAAAGGAAAAACTTGAAATCATACACGTAAGAGTTGTGTTCCCTCTGCCAGATAAAAGTGAGAAAGACAAAGTTTTCCAAAATTCTAATAACTTTACATATTATCAATTTCGCAACAAAACACATTGGTTCCAACACTAACAACATAAAAGGTTTTAAAATTGCAATCTAAACTAATGTTTTCTTTCTTCCTCTCCCTGTTCGTGAAACATGAAGACAAAGATTTCCAAAATTCCAATGAATCCTCTCATTTCTTCGCAAAAATTATAAATCTATTTGAATCCAACAATTATCAATGCATTTTAAAACTGGAAAAAAGCAGGACATAAAACTTATCCAAAATATAAGAAGAGCGTCATAGGTGTGATAGGAGCATATTCATGCGACTTAAATGGCTTGTTCTCGTACATTTACGTTATGTCTCTTTAGTTATTTTAGTCCTTTATGCTTCTTTTGTGTGTTTTCAGGATAATAAGACGTGTTTGACGAAAGGATGCATTGTGGAGTGTTTTGGGGCTTTTTGGAGCACTATTGGGCTAAGGATGGATAGCTTATGCTTGGAGCCCAAGTGTTGGATGAAATTGAAGATGCATGTGCAATGAAGTGGAATGGATTTACACGGCTAAGAATGACTGTTTTGATTGTGATGATGAATGCATGTTGAATTGGTGATGAATGTGCATGGCAAAGAATGGAATTGGCTGCAATGGTGTGTAATTGGGCTAGGTTTTAAGTGCATGAAATGGACCCAAATTGCTCCCCCTTGATGGCAAGGAATGGTGTTTGTGTTAAGCCCATGGCAAGGTGAATGTAATTGGGTTAGGGCCATTGTTTTGTGTCCTCAAGTGCATACAAGGCCTTCAATTTCATCCAACACTTGGGCTCCAAGCATAAGCTATCCATCCTTAGCCCAATAGTGCTCCAAAAAGCCCCAAAACGCTCCACAATGCATCCTTTCGTCAAACACGTCTTATTATCCTAAAAACACACAAAAGAAGCATAAAGGACTAAAATAACTAAAGAAACATAACGTAAATATACGAGAACAAGCCATTTAAGTCGCATGAATATGCTCCTATCACACCTGTGACGCTCTTCTTATATTTTGGATAAGTTTTATGTCCTGCTTTTTTCCAGTTTTAAAATGCATTGATAATTGTTGGATTCAAATAAATTTATAATTTTTGCGAAGAAATGAGAGGATTCATTGGAATTTTGGAAATCTTTGTCTTCATGTTTCACGAACAGGGAGAGGAAGAAAGAAAACATTAGTTTAGATTGCAATTTTAAAACTTTTTATGTTGTTAGTGCTGGAACCAATGTGTTTTGTTGCGAAATTGATAATATGTAAAGTTATTAGAATTTTGGAAAACTTTGTCTTTCTCACTTTTATCTGGCAGAGGGAACACAACTCTTACGTGTATGATTTCAAGTTTTTCCTCTAGAAATTCAAGCTCTATTGGATACATGAGGTATAAGAGTCTGTTTGGGATATTTTCAAGTTTTACTGATTCCTGAAAATTAAGCGCGCATTCTTAATAAACATACATAAATAAGTTATCAATCAAACGGTTAAACAAATTGAATCAACAACTTATGAAATTCCAACGAAAGTTAATCAATTCATATTGCAAACATAAACATAGTTTCGAATCACCCCCTAGATAAAGGGGGGTATAGTTCCTCATAACTTTGAAATCAAAGAAACACCTAAACATTCCAACAACTCAAACTTGAATTGTATGAACGTTTAGGCACTCTTCTCTTCCATTCCTCACACGTACAAAACAAAGAGAATTGAATTTAAACATTGAAATCAAAGAAACACCTAAAAATTCTAACAACTCAAACTTGAATTGTATGAATGTTTAGGTGTTTCTTTGATTTCAATGTTTAAATTCAATTCTCTTTGTTTTGTACGTGTGAGGAATGGAAGAGAAGAGTGCCTAAACGTTCATACAATTCAAGTTTGAGTTGTTGGAATGTTTAGGTGTTTCTTTGTGATGCGAGATTTACTTGACACTCAAATTAAACCCTCGTTTGACAATTGTAGTAGAATGGATAAGTGAGGGATCGTTCTGGACCGGGGATTAGGAGGGATTGTTAATCACTTGGATTTGACTCAAAAACGTAAAAACACAATATAAAACACTATACTAGACTCAAAGAATGCAAAACTAATCTTTAAAACACTAAGACAAACCAAAGACTCAAAATGCTTTTAAAAACACAAACTAAAATGATTTCTAACTAAATTGACATTAAAGTAAAGGGGGATTTAAGTTTATACGAAATTAAATTAAATGAACAAATTAAAACAGAATGTAAGTATAAAATTGATGAAATAGAATGGATGAATGCTAGCTAAGGGGGTCATCTCCACATATGTTACACTTGCATAATAAAAAGATTTCCAATTGCATTTCAATAAACCATTAATTCTCAACGCTCCAAGTTAATTAGGTCCGCTTAAATTAACCGACAAGTTCTCCTTAAGTTAATGAATTGGATGGGTTAGCGCAACGCAATTCACCACATTCTCCAAAAGTCCTTTACGTGAAAAGCACAATAAAGATACAATCAAAGATCATTAAGCATTATGAAAACTATAAGTGTTGACGAGGCACTTGTTACTATGGAATACGCATGAAACTTATGCCAAGAATTCGTTTAATGCGATTGTTTATAAGCAACCTCCACTACTTGTGAATATAAGTTCGTAACTATTAGGTGAAACTCACTTATATTCTAGCGTCATATTCATGCATGAAAATTAAGCGTGCACTCTCAATAAACATACATAAATAAGTTATCAATCAAACGGTTAAACAAATTGAATTCACAACTTATGAAACGCAATTAGAAGTAATCAAATCAAAATGCAAGCATAAACATTTATTTCGAATTACCCCCTAGCTAAAGGGGGTTTAGTTCCTCATAACTTTGAAATCAAAGAAACACCTAAACATTCCAACAACTCAAACTTGAATTGTATTAACGTTTAGGCACTCTTCTCTTCCATTCCTCATACTTACAAAACAAAGAGAATTGAATTTAAACTTTGAAATCAAAGAAACACCTAAACATTCCAACAACTCAAACTTGAATTGTATGAATGTTTAGGCCCTCTTATCTTCCTCGTTGTTGTAGCACAAGGTCTAAGGTGAGGTTTGGGGGATTATGGAAATGGATGAGGAATGGTGGAAGGGGGACTCACGGTTTTGGATTCTAAGGGGAAGTGTTTGTGTTAGTTGTGGTGTGAGAAATGGAGAGATGGAGTGGGGAGTGAATGAATTTCTCAATGAATGCATGGGTTTTTATAGGGGGAATGGGAGAATATGTTGTTGATTGTTTAAGAGTGCATGTGGCTCTTATGATTGTTGTGCAATGATGAAAGGCAAAGTGCATGTGCAATGTTGGAGGATGAATGTGTGATGGTGTGATTGAATGATTTAAAGGGGCATGTGGGTGAATTAAAGGATGGAATGCATGTGAATTAGGTTGCAAAGAGAAGGAGAAAAGCTGGAAAATGGAATGGGATACATGGCAAGGTATGTTTGGTGTTGGAAATGCATGTGTTTGCATGTGAATTAAAACTAGAGTGAATGATGATGAATGCATGTGGATTAAAGAGGTGTGAATGCATGTGAAGATGCTAATAAATAATGCATGTAGGGTTAGGAAATAAAATCATAACTTAAAGGGAATGATTAAAGGGTGTTGAAAGGTTTTGCATGGCTTTGAAGTGATTGTGGATTGGGCTAGGGTTTAAGTACATGAAATGGACCCAAATTGCTCCCCCTTGCATGGCAAGGAATGGTGTTTGTGTTAAGCCCAAGGCAAGGTGAATGTAATTGGGTTAGGGCCATTGTTTTATGTCCTCAAGTGCTTACAAGGCCTTCAATTTCATCCAACACTTGGGCTCCAAGCATAAGCTATTGATGCGTGAATTATGCGCACACAAATTAAACCCTCTTTTTGACGATTTGTAGTATAAGTGCAAGTAGGGATCGTTCTGGACCGGGGATTAGGAGGGATTGCAAATCTCTTGGAAACTGACTCAAAAACGTAAAATAAAGTTTAAAACACTAAACTAGACTCAAAGAATGCAAAATTAAAATTTAAAACACTAAGACAAACCAAAAACTCAAAATGCTTTAAAAACACAAACTAAATTGAATTCTAACTAAAATGAACATTAAAACAAAAGGGGGATTGAGGTTTTTTTACGAAAATTGAAATAACGAAACAAGTTAATAAACTAGACAGAATGTAAATATGAAGTTTATGGATGAATGCTAGCTAAGGGGTTCATCTCCATACTGTTACACTTGC